ACATATAAAGGTAGTAACAGCTGTAACTGCTCCATACATGTCAGTGTGACCTGTGCTGCCTGGGAACCAACATCTTAACTTGCTTTAATGGAGTGTGTATAATAAAAGCTCACTCTTAATTAGGAAACAAACAAGTGAGCCTTCTACAGATTTCTCTACTGAACATGTTGGTGTACTACAGGGTGACCCATACTCTAACCGCCCTCTACAAAATTCAAATGGAGTTTTGATAGAAGCCACATTCCCATATATTGTTAGTCAAACGAAAGATTCCAAAGTGAGCTGCCTGGATGAACAGCACCTGGCATCACCTGGGAACTTGTTAGAATAATTCCGCAGAGATTCAAAGCTTTGAGTTTGTTCAGAACTACTGAATTGGAAACTCCAGAGATGGGCTCAGAAAAGTGCATTTTCACAAGGCCATCTGTGGACGTTATATACACTGGTGGACTGGCTCAGGGTTAGGAAGGACTAAACTACACCATCAGGGACATTAAAGCCCACAGTAGAGGACACGGGGCTTGCTCCTAATGTCACTGACATCAGTCCAAGTTGATGGACAATCACCTACAGGAACTCTCTAATCAGTAGTTCTCAACCTATCTAATGCTGCAACCCCTTAACCCAGCTCCTCACATTGTAGTGAGCCCAGCCATAAAACTATTTTCATTGCTACTTCATAACTATAATTTTGCTACTGTTATGAACTGTAATGGAAATATCCGATATGCAGGACATCTAATATGTGACTCCTGTGAAAAAAAGGTCATTTGACCTTCATAGGGGTCACGACCCACAGGTTGAGAGCTACTGCTTTAAAGTGACCCAGTTTTTGACGACAGCTCAAGACACTACCAGGGGAGGCATCATAAAAGCACAGTCAGGTATTTCCTTCATATTCCCTTTTTTTCTCCATTCCCTCCTGTCCACCCCTATTTCAAAATTTCTCAGTTGCTTTCTCCCCTTTGTAAATTCCAAATAAAACAGTGCTTCTGAGGATAATGCAAGATATATTTACGTGATTTACAATGTTCTATGTCTTTCTGAAGACTTTTATGTAGCTTATGTTCATTTTTTGCAGCTCTCTCCTATAAAGTTTAATCTACTGGGAAATTGTATGTCAGTTTAGAGGCCTCTAATGACCATCCCCTAAATTAACAACCAGTTTTTGAGAAGAAACCATAGGAGGCACTTTCACAGAAAATTATAGCTAACATTTACAACCTTCAAAGAAGCTGTCCAAAGACAGCAAATATATTCAATTTAAGAATGTAGAAAATATATTAAAATATATAACACGAGATTACACTAAAATGAAACACTATTCACAAAGCATGTTAACACAGTGCTATTTATTACAAAACCTGATATTATTGCAGGAGAAAAGCTCCCTTCTCCCAGTAATGGGATGCAGAGCTAATGGCAAAAACTCTGCATCTCTCTCTTATGCTCATATATGATATTGGGACAAAAAAAGACCCCCTTTTTTTCCTTGAAAAGCTTAAAGCTACATTAAAATCTGAATAGTTCAACAGGACTTACTAGCTCTAAACAGAGGATTACTTTATAACCTAAAAGAAACGGTGCCAATAAACTCTCCCTTCCCCCAACACACCATTCTTCAAGATCTCTCTTGCTTCTGCTGCATTAGTGCTCTGTTTCTTAGTAGTTTCTGTTGGACTTAAATATCTCATCCCTTTCCATGAGAAGCCTGGGTCATCTGGAGATGGCTCTTGCATGGTTGTCTATTTACCAGGCTGGCCTGGAGGATGAGTGAGGGAGGAACAGGCTTCATCTCCTCTTGGGTTATCTGACAGCCTTCACTTGTAGCTTTAGCCCCTCTGATCAGTAGTTCTGAGTAAGTCCAGGGATTTGGGTTTCAGAGAGATGATTCTAGTGTGTAGCACCAAGTCTACATGACCGAGGTCACAGGCTCACTAAAGTCACCTCATATTGTGTCCATAGTTGCAGCTGTGGTTCGGAGGAAGCCATTACTTTTGTAGTCACACATGGGATGGATCATTTGCCTGAGGCATCCGTTGTTAGTGTGTGAACCTTCTGCCAAGACCGGGCACTGGTCCAGTTGGTCAATGCTGTTGTACATTCATTAAATTTAGACTTGCCTACTTCATCAGCTCATTATATAAGCTCAGATTTATACTGGTCCTAAAGCCCTGACAGTGGAACTCACACTTGACCTACTGTGAAACAGTGTATCTCAGATCTTTAATTAACCACCTGGAATTTCCACACTGACCTGGGCCAGGTTATGGGACTTAGTCTCTGAAAGTAACTAGAAGTGATCCACTCTCTGGGGTCTTTCCCCAACTGCCCTGCCTCTGGGGCCACCCAGCAGCAGGCCCAGGGAGCCCATGAGTTTTCCAACAGTGACAAAGTAAACACCACAATTTAAAACTGTCCTCAGTGTGGCCTACAAAAAGGAAAGTCTTTTCAGGCAATCCATTCCAATTAAGCACTTGTTCATCAACCTGAGAGATCTGCTTCAATAAAGGAAGCAGATACTTCAGGACATGAAGGATCTTTTCCCTACTCATTGTAATGCTATACAGATCATCCTTCTGGTCCTGAATCCTATGGCATCTGAGGAATGATGGTGCTCAAAGCCATGCTTAAGGCCTTCCCTTCCTGTGCCCACCTACACTCAACAGGTTTCCATCCAAGCATTTCTGTACTAAATCATTTAGCTAGCAACGAAAGGCATATGTATCTGATAATCATTAAGGAAGTAATTTTCTTGATTTACTGTATCTGAATTTTTTTTATGTGAAGGGAATAACCAAGCTCTCTGTGCAGTCCTGGTAATGGAATCCAAGGTCTCAAACATGCCATACAAGCCCTCTACCATTAAATCACACCCTGGCCCAGTGTTGAGGATGGAATCTGAGGTCTCAAACATGCTACACAAGCCCTCTACCACTGAACCACAGCCCAGCCCATCTCTAAGCACTTCTTAACCTCCATCAAATAGACTTAACTATTCAGATTTCACATTGAACTAATTAGTGAGCAGTTTCCAGCATGCCTTTGGCATATGCCATGAGTTGGCATGTGCCTGCAGACCTTTAGCCATGTGCAGCTGATGGGCACATGCACTTCACACATGTGCCTTTCTAGGGCTTAATAAAGAAGGCATGTAAGTTTGGTTTTATAGTTTTCTTCCCTGTCTGGTTTTTGCCTCTGTGATTTTTTTTGATTACTCAGCAAATCAAAAAGTATGATCAATTATTTAAAAATAATTCAGAGGCCAAGAAAGTACAATAGCACCCGAGGGAAACAGACATAAAACATAAAAGTAAGAAGAATAAACTTTGAGACTCATAAGCTACCCAGGGGAAAGTTGATAGGGTGACTACCTGCCTACTTCAAGTCATTTCAGAGGCAGAAAATGCCTGCCAACTGGAAGATGCTATGTGGGCAGCTGTGGCAACTGATGCTTCCTTGCCTGGTGTTACAGCTCTTCTGCTAGAGCTACAGGCTCAAAGGCAAGAGCTCAAGATCTTTCTGAGAAGCAAATATAGAAAAGCATCAAAAGTAAAAAGTGGAAGTCTATCTGGCATGACAAGGCCATTTCAAACTAAAACTAAGCCTCAAGAAGTTGAAAATTCTAAAACTTTAAAAATTCTATCTGACATGTAAAAATGCACACCCAGTCTAACACAAGAGTGCTGACAATGAACCATATGTTGTATGTATACAACACAGACAACATTTTCCATAGTTGCAGGTGTTATCGTGTCCAAGATTTGGGACAAGACTGGAAATTCCTGAAAACTATCATATTGTATGTTGGTTTTCTCAGTCGCCTCTGATTAGCTTTGATCTTAAACTCTGAGTTCCAGATCATTGCCTGAAAAAGTAGAAGGATGTTTAATAGGTTGTTTTAACCTGATTGCTGATTCATTTAGTGCGTTAGAATGAATGTTCGTGTGTTGGCAATTTGCAAACCAAGAGCTCCTATGCAAACAAAAGGTATCCATCTCTAATACAATGCTTTTCAGTATGTGTTGGTGGTGTTATACAGCAGCCAGGCACTTTTGATGAAGCATCTACGTGTCTCTTTAAGATTTGGTTAGCCATTCAAATCAGTTTTAATCTCTCTGAATCTGGAATAAATGAGGCTATGTTGTTTCAAAGAATAAGTCCCCAAGCAACTGTTAAAGGTTCCTTGATGCTGGCCCACTGTGACTAAGAATGTCTTGATGACTGATGCTCTTGAAATGACTGCTTGATGCCCTTTTCTGCTGCACTGGATTGTCTTGAGAACTGTCAAGCTTAGAAAGCCACAAAAGCATGTCTTTCTACTATTCCACTGTAATGCATCAGTAAATTCTTCATTCTCTATGGCTTATTAGTCCTTCTCACTGCCAACCTGGCTATGGAATCAGATGAAGATGGGAGGGAGATTTGCAAGTCACTGAAAATGGAAAAGTCTCATTGTCTGGAATGTGGTGCTGGTAGCTTTCAGATGGCTTGCAGCAAGAGCTTTCTGTGTGTAAAGTAGTAAAACTAACTATGCTTGCCCAAGTACTCCACCGTCATAGAGACTTGAAAATGCACCCAAACTGCAAGCCAATGCAATAAAAGAAAAACAATGAGCTCTCTTGCTGTATTAGACTAGTCTTTCTTTTTTCGTTGCAACCTGCAATTTTCTGAATACAGGGTCACCTATGATTCAATCCTAGGTAGATGAAAGACCTAGAGTGTCCTTCCTTCTGCTCCTTTGGTTTAGGGACATTAATGGCTATTCTTACTAAATCAGTAAGTTTAAGATTCTTGGGAGGGGTTTAGCGCACCAAACTTCTAGCAAGAGCCCAGTATTAGATGGACTAACGTGTTATTTGGCCTTGTTTTTTTCAGAGAAAAGGAAGGTCTGCTTTGCCAAGCCAGCGTAGGAGAACAACTGCAGACTACTGACACAGTGAGTGCAGATGATCACAGGTGAGTTCTCAGGTGAACAAGAGTTGCTGTTACATGCTTACCTGGATAGAGTTCAGGCCCAGGCCCTGGCCCTGGGGAGCATCCCACAGCGCCATCAGCAGCAGCATCTCTGGGGGAAGTGGCTGGCTGCAGGGGCTGCACAGCGAGACAGTCCGTGAGGAGATCTGGATGGAGCTCAGTGCTAGACCGTAGCTGAAAGGGGAAAAAAAGAATTGAGATGAAAAAGGCTGGTCCTTAGGACACATGGAAAGGCCTCATACCCCAAAGGTTGATGCGATCCAATCCACAAACCTTTATTAAGCAGCCATGGAGAGAAAGACATGAGTGTAACAGCATCAACAGAAGGGTCAGCTCTCTAGCTCTACAATGCCTGGCAGGTGCTTCAGGACACACGTGGCTGCAGACCTTGATAGCTGCACTTCTGAGAACCCAACTTCCTATTATAGTCCCATTTATTTGCTGCCTCAATATCTAATCAGAAGTCATAGTGATGACAAAAACAAACTCAAACAGACTTTGTCCACATTGTACTTTTAAGAACAGGGATAGTGGCACCAAAAAAAAAAAAATATCAGAGAAAATTCAGTAATCTCCAATGAGGTTTGATGCTTAGGAAAAAACAAAACAAAACAAAACAAAACAAAAACCAACTTTTTTTCTTTTGATGCTCAGAAATCTTACATGAGAGCAACATACTCAGGATGAAGTTTAAATATAGAAAATGATTAAATGAAACTGCTAACATTAATATTATGTCACACAAAAAGTAGGAATTTACATCTTCATTTAGTCAAACACAATTAATTTTACAGGTAAGTCACATCTAAAAATTAAAACAAAATATATTTAAAATGTAGCATAAGTGAAAATTTACCTGATCTATTTCATTACATGTGGGTGTTTATTTGTGGAAGTGCTTGCATATACATGTGTGTGTATGAATGTGTGCGTGTGTGCATATATGTGTGTTTGTGTGAATGTATGCATGTGTGTGGGTGATAATGCATATACGACAACTGCATGGCATGGTGACCCGAGGGTACAGTGGTAGCAATCCAGTTGTCTTGTTGGACTTAAGACCCACTCAACAAGGAAACATGTTTGCTACTGGAAACCTAGCTAGCCACTCAGGACCATCAAAGTCAGAGATAGAGACTAGCGGAGAACCTACAACCACCACTTTACTACGAATCCATAACAACAATCTAAAGATATGTCTTTATAACTACAGGTAAGTATAGTCCTCATGTCTCCTCAAAGAAACTTCTCTTTACAACAGACAGAGACCATTACAGAAAACCACACCAATCAAAACACAGTTGTGGAGCCCAGTCCCAAAGGATCCATCTATGAGACATCCCCACATCTAAGGCTGGGAACACTACAGAAGAGGGGACAGAGAGAGTGCAAGGATCAGGGACTCTGCTGTGAGACTGTTGTCTATTAAAACCAGATACTATATCCATCAAGTCTCACCATGACTGTTGAAACATGAACCGAACAAAGGGCAACAACAATAACACAAGCCAAAGTAGGTGGGGGGGGGGATCCCCTGAAGCTTTAAGCTACGCAAAGATTGGCAGACGACTAAAGACTGGAGAACAGGTGTAACAGTCTTCTCCAGGGAGGGGTACACCAGCTGGTTATTCAATACCAATAGTCAACTCTGAAAACACACATTTAAGTAACATTATACAGACTGAGAGGGGTCCATTTAAGAATATATATGCATATTATAGATGTAACAGCAATTAATTTCAAAAAGAGGCCATAAATTTGTAAAAAGAGCAAAGAAGTATATGGGAAGGTTTGGAGTGAGAAAAAGAAGAAATGATGTAACTATAACCTCAAAAGATGGATTTTTGGAAATGTTTAGTGCAGCTTTTCATTAAGTATTTTGTTTTCCAATAAACTAAGTATAATGTTTAAAAAAAACTATTCACTACACTTTCCAAGAAGGACCTTAACACTGACTTATCAGGGGCCAGAGAAATGGCTCTGTGGTTAAGAGAGCTTGTTACTCTTGCAGAGGACCTGGGTTCAGTTGTTTGTGAGCACTAAGTACGCATGTTATATAGACACACACATATAGACAAAATATTCATACACGTTAAGACAAATAAAAATATTAAAAATAATTTATCAGTACATCAAAACCTTCATAAAAGTATCTGTGGTAGTAATGTCATGGGTAGAAATTTATGTTTTTCAGCAGGTGACTATCTTGGTGTAAAATTTATAGTGGGCATAAGGGAATAGATTTTAAGACCCATAATCAAAATAATTTGATTCTCGAAACTTCCTAAGGAAATATTTGGAAATATGAAGGACAATGGATACCCAAAGACCTATGTATGCATTCTCCTAATGATATACAGTATGATTTATAGCAATACTCAAAATTACAAAATTCTTTTAAATATTCATAATAAGGACAATTAAAAAAATCATGCATTTAGTAATTGGAATACTATGTTCATAATGATGGCAAAACAAAATTTTATATACAATATCTTAAGAATAGCAGACAGTCCAGATAAAATGAAATCTTTTCTCTGTTTTCTAAATATTCTACATTTCAACCATGAACTAGAACTGCCACGTAACAATTTAAGTGTGCCTGTGTGTGTGCCTCTTTTCTGAAGTCCTTATAGTGATGTCACAAAGATCGCCTGAAACTGGTCCTGAGGAAATATTTACCCTATAGAAACTGGCAACTTCTCTACACTAAGGCTTCTTATCCGTAGTTCTGGCTGCTAAGTATCACAAGAACACAACTGATAGAGACAATGAAATGCACCCTGCTCAAACACAAGGACAGTCTGCCTCAGATGGAATATTGTTGCTCCCCACAAGTTCATGAGTTCAGAGCTAGGTTCCTGGTATGAAAAGGAGGAGAGCTGGCGAGACCATTCAAAGGTGGGCCTAGTGCCAGTTGGTTAGGCCATGGACGGTGATGCCTTCAGGAGGGACTAAGGCAGATCCTGTGGGACCCCAAGTTAATTCTCAAGACAATGAGGGGGATCCTAACCCTTGAATCACTCTGTAGATGTTGTCTACTCTTTTAACTTGTGCTCCCACTATGATACCATCTATGTGACAGCCACAGGGGCCCTCACTTGGCCATCACAGTGTTTGAACTTTAAGGCCTCAAAAACAGCTAACTGAACCATTTTCTTATAAAGTGCCCTGCCTTAGATAATTTTTATAGCAATCAAGAAATGAAGCCACATGGGCATGCATACATACATACATACATACATACATACATACATACATACATACACACACACACACACACACACACACACACACACCCCACTACCACCACCACCACCACCACCACCAACAACAACAAAAGAAAATGGCACTTCTTGGATCTCAAATGAGATTAAACCTATACCCAAAAATTAGATAAGAATATGAAAACAGCAGAGGGAATTAGGTAACAGAAGGACCATTTAGCTCACATATCAATGAGATCATCACAACTTCCACAGCTATAGAACACTGAACCTTCTAACCAGGACGGCCTATGTTTATGCCTAGCCATCTCAGGGCCTTTGGGAGATACATCAGTTATTTTCTTATGAACCTAACACATGCTGCTTAAGAAAAACTGGGGCGGGAAAAATCAAGGCTTAGAATGAGTTCTGGTGATCACTTTTAATTTATCATCCACCATTAAAATGTGATCTGGGGTGCACATGTTCTACTAAGGGCAGAAATGAATGCTTCTCTGCTTTGGATTACCCACCACTCTAGGGTTTTCCAGTTATCAGTACCAGTGAGATTGTTCCAAGGAATTTCATGGCCATAGCTAATCCTGGCATCAAACACAGGCGGTTCTTCCCTAGCTTCTACAGGCATTCATGTGTTCCAGCAGCATGATTCTATACGACTTTGTGGTGAGAGTTAATTCAGTTTTCTCTAGGATTAGGCATGGTTCTTAAAAGTGCTTCTTAAATTAAACAACCCTTAGAACCTTCTGCAGAATTTCCAGAGGAGAGCTACACAAGAATACCAAGTCATGAGATGCAGTCGTATATCCATCCCAGATCAAGAGAGTAGGAGAGGGTCCTCCAGGCTGAAATGAGCGAGGCAGAAGGCAGAGTCAAATCTCCTGGAGGGGTGTCTCTCAATATACACAGTTTTAGGTTGGGAATGAGAAATTCAAGTATTTACAAGAAATAACTTCCTAATGTTTATCTCAACAACATCTTAGCTGCTAAGAATATATGAAAGAGAAGCAGGACAAAGCTTAATTAAGTCAGGATCATCTATGAATGTATTTTTCTGACTTGGCACACATCAGAAACTCCCAAGGGGCATTCTGAAATTCCCATGTGGGGATGATGCTGGGGTCTGCAGATGACCCTTTTAGAATTGCTGATCTCTAAGAATTCTAATGGGCCGAGTTAGGGATTTTCCTGGCTTTGGAGAGAGGAAATGCACTGTGGAGACAGAGGCTGATAAAAATATAATATTCTTTTCAAGTAGAAGTTAAAATTACTGTATCTTCTCTGATTAGCTATGATTTTAAAACGTGGTATTTTTTCATTGAGACACAAGCTTCAGACCTCTAATTAGCAGGTTTCAGGAAAGGCCATGGGAGGAGAAACTGAAGACAAAGATGGGGATGTTTTCCAGTCACTGGATAGACAGATGCTATGAAAATAAGTTCAACCAACATGGGGGGATTCTGTGCTTTGCATCTTACAAAACACCTTGACAGATTTGTGAGAAGCCTCCCTGAGACCTTTGAACCTTAAAAGCTTGGTGTTATCTCCAGTGGAAAGTAATCACTAATTCCAGCATCCTAAGTACTAATTATCATAAAAAGAATCTTAAGTTTCCCACAGATGTATCTACCTCTCTGCAAAATGCACATAGAGAAATGGCTACATGAGGCTCAATTCTTAGGTAGAGTTTAGATTTATATTCCTTCACCTGAACAAGAAGAAAACAAAATCTCCTACAAAACTTAGCGCTGTTGTTGGGAAAGAGCAAAGAACTGCCCCCGCAGGGCCTTTCCTGCTCTTTTTGGATAAAGGAGGGATCTGGAGCCACAGATTCTCTGCAAAGGGTTGATGTGTTGAATGGACAATGTGACTGGTCCCCTGGAACTGTTGCCTTCAGGCATTCTCCCCAGACAACACCATCCTTTTGCAGCCTCTCTCATTCACCATACA